ATCTCACTATCCTTTAATTTATATATAAATTTTAAACAAATCTCATTATCCTTTAATTTATATATAAATTTAAAAAATCTCACTATCCTTTAATTTATATATAAATTTTAAACAAATCTCATTATCCTTTAATTTATATATAAATTTAAACAAATCTCACTATCCTTTAATTTATATAAAAAATTTAAACAAATATCATTATCCTTTAATTTATATATAAATTTAAACAAATCTCATTATCCTTTAATTTATATATAAATTTAAAGAAACCTCATTATCCTTTAATTTTTGTATAAATTTAAAGAAACCTCATTATCCTTTAATTTTGTGATTAGTGTATTTTTATTACTATTATTTATCCCCCCCCTCCCCAGTGGCACAGCGGAAAGTCTCCAAGCACACGATGCTAAAAATCGGGTTTTGATACCCGTGTTGGGCAGATTACAGATAGCCCATTGTATAGCTTAGGGCTTAACAACAACTAACCAACCATGATTTAATTCGTAGCTACATCTGTGATTTGTTTGGTTGGTGGTAAACCAACGCACTAATTGTCCGATCACAGCAACACAGAGTATTATAAATTACACACTCACAGATCAAAAATCTGGTGAGTGAAGGGAAACGATGATAGAACATTGACCATGTTAGCGAAAGATCCTGATGTTTAGAAGCATGATGGTTAATATCATGCCAGTTAACAGCATTACGATTGTAAGAGTTCAAGTACTAGAGAAAACAAGCTACTGTGACGTAATATTTGTTTAAATGTTCAATGTTTTCGTGAATATATCAACAATGTTAATGATGTCGCGTCTTCTCAGTTAATATGACAACTAAAACCACATTCGGTTGAATTTAGACTTATTCAAATTAACACATCAGAAGATTATTGTTAATATCCTAAAAAAAAAGAGTCATATGAACAACGTGAATACTCACAGAATTTGAAGCGTAAATAAATATTTAGTTTTTCATATTGTAGTTAAACACATAGCTGGTGCCACCACAGGTATCAAAACCCGGTTTTTAGCGTTATAAGGCGTACCGCTGTGCCACTGGGGAGGGGCACATTTGTAATAGTAATACTGGTATAAAATAATATCTACTTATACACACAGTTATATGTTATTTGAAAACTCTACAACCCGTGAATTATATTTCTGCTATAATTCAAATATTTCCCCTTTTCTGTCTATTTTCCAACAGAAAAAAGTCAAAGAAGCAAGCGAGCGAGATTTTCGGTATCAGGTACGTGTAACTTTTCTATAATCTGGAATAACGTCGAATTTATTGAAAGTGATTATTTAACTGAATGTTTTCAATAATCGAAAACAGTTGACATCCCATAATAGTATTTTTGCACTACCCTCTTTCATATATTTATTTTTAGTACATGTTTTTATTTCTCTTTCTTTGTTTTTATTTTTCCCTCAACCGTCTGGGAACAGTGAATGGAATCGAGACGTTGTGGTTAGAGTTCTAATACCTGCTGTTATATATATATGTGGGGGGTTTGGGGATGTAGGTTGAATCTAAAGGAGGGTTTACCCCAGTATATAGTTTATACCATAGTTTAATATACCTGCTGTTATATATATATGTGGGGGGTTTGGGGATGTAGGTTGAATCTAAAGGAGGGTTTACCCCAGTGTATAGTTTATACCCTAGTTTAATATACCTGCTGTTATATATATGTGGGGGGGGTTGGGGGTTGGGGATGTAGGTTGAATCTAAAGGAGGGTTTATCCCAGTGTATTGTTTGTACCATAGTTTAGTATACCTGCTGTTATATATATATATATATATGTGGGGGGTTTGGGGATGTAGGTTGAATCTAAAGGAGGGTTTATCCCAGTGTATTGTTTGTACCATAGTTTAGTATACCTGCTGTTATATATATATGTGGGGGGTATATAACAGCAGGTATACTAAACTATGGTACAAACAATACACTGGGATAAACCCTCCTTTAGATTCAACCTACATCCCCAAATATATATATGTATGTGTGGGGTTTGGGGATGTAGGTTGAATCTAAAGGAGGGTTTATCCCAGTGTATTGTTTGTACCCTAGTTTAGTATACCTGTCTTTTACGTTGTTTGAAATTTTTGTAGGCAACGTATTAATTTGTGTATAACAAAACGTAACTTCCAAAAAGGCAAAATAAATACTAATCTGAGAAAGTTCAGTCGTCAGATCTGATGACCAAAAAACGTTCAGAGAAACAAGTTCAGTCGTCAGATCTGATGAATAAAAACGTTCACAGAAACAAGCTCAGTCGTCAGATCTGATGACCAAAAAAGTTCACAGTCGTCAGATCTGACGACCAAAAAACGTTCACAGAAACAAGCTCAGTCGTCAGATCTGATGAATAAAAACGTTCACAGAAACAAAAGGTTCAACACATGAACAGAAGCATACGAATAGGCTTTCAGGGCTTGGGCCTGTAGCGCAATAATTTGAGGGGCGTATTTTAGGGACAAAAATTTCAAAAACAACTTCAAATCAATTTTGATAAAAACAAAATTCCACCCATTTCATTGCGCTTTAATTTATTGGGCTTTGGTGTTGATGGGTAATCTTCCTGGTGAATCCTTCTAAAATCTGGGGCATAGATCGGTAGTTAACCTCAGTACGCTATTGTACAGGAATAAAACAATTCAACACAGAATAAAACAACTGAACACAGAATAAAACAACTAAACACAGAATAAAACAGTTAAACACAGAATAGAACAATTGAACACAGAATAAAACAACTAAACACAGAATAAAACAACTAAACACAGAATAAAACAGTTAAACACAGAATAGAACAATTGAACACAGAATAAAACAATTGAACACAGAATAAAACAGTTCAACAGTAAATAAAACAGTTAAACACAGAATAAAACAATTTAACACAGAATAAAACAACTAAACACAGAATAAAACAGTTCAACAGAGAATAAAACAGTTAATAGAACAATTGAACACAGAATAAAACAATTCAACACAGAATAAAACAGTTCAACAGAGAATAAAACAGTTAATAGAACAATTGAACACAGAATAAAACAATTGAACACAGAATAGAACAATTGAACACAGAATAAAACAATTCAACACAGAATAAAACAACTGAACACAGAATAAAACAACTAAACACAGAATAAAACAATTTAACACAGAATAAAACAGTTAAACAGAGAATAAAACAGTTAATAGAACGATTGAACACAGAATAAAACAATTGAACATACGAAGAATAAAATTCAGTTTGCATCACACAAATACAAAAAGTTACAAAAAGAAAAAAAATGGATCTGAAAGTGACGGTTTGTTTTGTTCAACATCTCTAGGTTTGTTTGTTTGGTTTGTTTGTTCAACTTCTCTAGGTTGGTTTGGTTTGTTTGTTCAACCTCACTAGGTTGATTTGGTTTGGGTTGGTTTGTTTTGTTCAACATCTCTAGGTTTGTTTGTTTGGTTTGTTTGTTCAACTTCTCTAGGTTGGTTTGGTTTGTTTGTTCAACATCTCTAGGTTGGTTTGGTTTGGGTTGGTTTGTTTTGTTCAACCTCTCTAGGTTTGTTTGTGTTGTTCAACATTTCTAGGTTGGTTTGTGTTGTTCAACATTTCTAGGTTGGTTTGGTTGGTTTGTGTTGTTCAATCTCACTAGGTTTGTTTGGTTTGTTTGTTCAACCTCTCTAGGTTGGTTTGGTTGGTGTTGTTCAATCTCTTTAGGTTTGTTTGTTTGGTTTGTGTTGTTCAATCTCACTAGGTTGGTTTGG